TTGCCTACCATGCAATTGACGCTCACTCGCTGCATATGCTATCTCATATCCTCTACAAGGCCATCCGGGAATCGCGCTTTGCGTGCAAGAAGAGTTCGTTCAAGGATTTCAGGAGGTATATCGAGACTGCTAACAAGAACGTAACCTGCGAGGATTTTTTGTGCTACATGCCTCAAAGTGAGGTTCTGAAGTTCGATTGCCTGGATGACAAAGTGCAGATGATTTCAATTAGCAAATATGGTGACCAGGAACCAACGCAAGGAGCCTCTCTCTACTGCGTGTTTCAGGCTCTAATGAAAGAGCAAGGAGTTAAACGGGTAACCGGTGCACTTTCCTACGACTTAAGAACGTTTGAAGGGTTCGATGCTACTAACGTGCTTGGCGATGTTCACACAAAGATTCCTTTCTTTTCGGAAATCGGAGAAGATCTTAATGTGTTCCTCGATAGATTCGATGCGTGTCTTGGTGCGTACCGAAAGGGAATCGATCTTCGCTGGCTTGCGACAGGGGAGGTGCACACGCATGGCGCACAGGTTCTTGCCACCCGATGGAATACATTGAACTTCTCAGTAAACTACCTGGGTATGGCTATCAATCTTAAAGATATGCTTTCAGATATCAAGGGGATAGATTTCGACCATAATTTTATGAACATGTTTACGCACAAAAATTCCGTGATTTGTGTGATAGGTCAGCGAATTCTCAAAGATAGTTCCTATGTGATTCAGGGCAAACAGGCAACCTATTACCTGAAAACAAGCATTGAATAGAAAGGCAAGGTGGATCACCATGATTAGCAAGGAGGAGCTCAAGAATTTCGGCGTCATGATGAGCAGTAAATCTATTTCAGAGATAGGAAACATTGCCTTTGACTATGCATGTAATCGTTTTCTTGTCGGTATCAGCTCAGGATCGTTTTATCTGGTGGGTATCTATCAGATGAGCGACAAGATAATCGCTGTGTTGCTTACCATAATAGGGGGCACGTTTGCTGATCGGGTATCGAGAAAGAAAATCCTCTATGTAGCCGATTTTATTAGCAGCGCTATATGTATAACGCTTGCTTTCACCTGTCATCAGGACAGCGTTATCGTAGGTGTCGTTGTGGCAAACATTCTTCTTGCAGTACTTTCTGCGTTTTCAGGTCCTGCCTATAAGTCCATCATCAAAGAATGTGTTCGAAAGGACA